GCAGCTTGCAAAAATAATATACAAGAGATAAAAAATATGAGCTCCCCCCCCCAGGCGATGATAACAATCAGATGAGTCGTTTGACGGGCTGTGTCCCACTCTGGGGGTGCTCAGGCCCGTTGGCCAAACCAGGTCTTCAGGGCCTTGGGAAAGACTGTGAAAGTGGGGGCCGGTCTTGCCTCCGCAGGGAGGGTGTTCTAAAGGGAGGGGGCCACCACAGAGAAGACCCCCCTTGATCCCTCTATATCAGGGGTCTTCCAACTTGGCCCTTTTATGACTTCTGGACTTCAACTCCCAGAATTCCTCAGCCAGGCACGCGTGCCTGGCTGAGGAATTCTGGGAGTTGAAGTCCAGAAGTCATAAAAGGGCCAAGTTGGAAGACCCCTGCTCTATATGGACATCCTTAGGAAAGGGGACCCATGACATCCCCTGCTTCCTCCCCTCTGGTGGGTAACCAAGAAGAGACCGTCCTTCAGATCCCCTGGTCTCAAGCCACGTAGGGCCTGAAAGGTGACCGCAGCACCTTGAACAGGTCCTGGAAGCAAGTCGGCCGCCAATGCAGTTCCTGTAGGACGGCTGACACCTGCACATCTCTGGGTCTGCCCAAAACCATGAGGTGTGCTGCAGGTTGCCGAGTTTAGGGTGTTGAGTATTTTTTGCAAGCTGGCTTTCCTCCGTATAATAGTCAGACCCGCCCTCCCTGTCTGTGTGCAACAGAGAATGCATGTTTTGCAAAAATCAAGAAGTGTTCCGGAGGAGTAAAATGGAGAAAGGCGTCTTATATTTGCTGGAAGATGGGGAGAGTAGAATACAGTAGAGTAGAGTAGAGTAGAGGAATAGGATAGGATAGGATAGGATAGGATAGGATAGGATAGGATAGGATAGGATAGGATAGGATAGGATAAGAAATAGAATAGAATAAGGAATAGAATAGAATAGAATTACAGAATAGAATAGAATAGGAATAGAATAGAGTAGAATAGAATAGAATTACAGAATAGAATTACAGAATAGAATTACAGAATAGAATAGAATTACAAATAGAATATAATAGAATAAAATTACAGAATAGAATAGAATAGGAATAGAATAGAATGGAATTACAAATAGAATATAATAGAATAGAATTACAGAATAGAATAGAATAGGAATAGAATAGAATAGGAATAGAATAGAATAAAATTACAGAATAGAATAGAATATGAATAGAATAGAATGGAATTACAAATAGAATATAATAGAATAGAATTACAGAATAGAATAGGAATAGAATAGAATGGAATTACAAATAGAATAGAATTACAGAATAGAATAGAATAGAACAGAATAGAATAGAATAGAGCTGGAAGGGACCTTGGAGGTCTTCTAGTCCAGCCCCCTGCTCAAGTGGGAGAACCTATACCATCTCAGACAAGTGACTGTCCAGTCTCTTCTTAAAAACCTCCGTAAGAAACAGACTTTTTAACCCTCTTTTTTCTAGCCAGAGTTTTGCAAGAGGAAAAAGAGGTTCCTGGCAGAGGCAGCTTTTATTTTGATTTTTGGAGGCCTGGTTGAAAATATTTTCCAGCTCTGGTTTCGGATTCTGTCTGGTTCCCTCGCTGCTCCTAGCCTTTTTCTGTTCCTTTAAACTGGGATTGCTGGATTAGCCACAGTTCTCTCACATAACGTGCTAAGCTCTGAATCATGGTTTGTCAGGCACATGGTCAGGTTGCTGTTATGCGCACCCTGTGTTCAAGCCAGAATGTGTGAGAGGCCGGGTGCTGCCTCTTAAGATTAATTTAAGCACAGAATTGCCAGTACAGAATGATATAGATGCCTGAACTTGTCTGAATTGACAAATTCTCAATTGTCTGGAATGGTAGAGGGTCTCCCTGTGCAGGGGGTTGGACTAGAAGACCTCCAAGGTCCCTTCCAACTCTTGTTATTCATTTATTCTTCTGGGCTAAAAATCTTGGGCAGATTCCTGCTGGCACTAACTAATGTTTGTTAAATGTCCTGGTGCAATTGTGTCAGTGTGCAATTCAAACACTTGATTCAAGGATAAGCTGGAGGGTTGCTAAAAATATCAGAGTCTTGCGTTAATGTTGGCACTTCGGCTGGCAGGAACGTCACTTCTTTCTCACATTCCTCTGGAAAAACAAAACCTTTGACCTGCTTGGCTGTCTTTCTGGACGTGGAAGGGCTCAGATGACCTGAGGGCAAGTGAGGCAATGTGTAACACACTCAGGACAGCCAAACAATGTCTCTCTGGTTTCATCACCGTGATGGGGCCGGGGAGTGGAATGGAATAGAACATGGAATGGAATAGAAAATGGAATGGAATTAGAATAGAATAAAATGCAGAATAGAATTAGAATAAAAAGCAGAATAGAATAGAATAGAGTAGAACAGAGTAGATTAGGAATAGAATAGGAATAAGAATAGAATAGAATAGAATAGAATTGTATTGTATTGTATTGTATTGAATTACAGGATAGAATAGAATGGAATGGAATGGAATGGAATAGAGCTGGAAGGGGCCTTGGAGGTCTTTTAGTCCAACTCCCTGTTCAGGCAGGAGATCCTATGCCATTTCAGACAAATTGTTGTCCAATCTCTTCTTAAAAGCTTCCAGTGTTGGAGCATTCACCGCTTCTGGTGGCAGGTTGTTCCACTGGTTAATTGTTCTCACTGTCAGAAAATTCCTCCTTAGTTCCAGGTTGCTAGTAGTAGTAGTAGTAGTAGTAGTAGTAGTAGTAGTAGTAGTAGTAGTAGTAATAATAATAATAATAAAGTTGGAAGGGACCTTGGAGGTCATCTAGTCCAACCCCTTGCTCAGGCAGGAAACCCTATACCATTTCAGACAAAGGGCTGTCCAGTCTCTTCTTAAAAACTTCCAGTGTTGGGGCATTTACTGCTTCTGGAGGCAGGTAGTTCCACTGGTTAATTGTTCTCACTGTCAGGAAGTTTCTCCTTAGTTCTAGGTTGCTTCTCTCCTTGATGAGTTTCCATCCATTGCTTCTTGTCCTGCCCTCAGGCGCTTTGGGGAATAGCTTGACTCCCTCTTCTTTGGGGCAGCCCCTGAGATACTATAACGCTGCTATCCTGTCGTCCCCCCCCCCCTCGGTCCTTCTCTTCATTAAACTAGACATCCCCAATTCCAGCAACTGTTCCTTATATGCTTTAGCCTCCAGCCCCTGATCCTCTTTGTTGCTCTTCTCTGCACTCTTTCCAGAGTCTCAACATCTTTTTTACATCGTGGTGACCAAAACTGGATGCAGGATTCCAAGTCTGGCCTTACCAAGGCCTTGTAAAGTGGTATTAACACTTCACGTGATCTTGATTCGATCCCTCTGTTAATGCAGCCTAGCACCGTGTTGGCTTTTTTGGCAGCTGCAGCACACGGCTGGCTCCTATTTAGGTGATTGTCCACTAGGACTCCGAGGTCCCTCTCACAGTTACTACTATTGAGCAAGGTACCCCCTATAACTATACCTGTGCATTTGGTTTTTCTTGCCTAAATGTAGAACCTTGCTTTTTCCACCATTGAAAAAAGTGAGGTTCTCCATTTAGGCAAGAAAAACACCATTGCTTTTGTGTTGCCCTCGGGTGCCGTAGGGCAGTGTTCCTCCACCGGGGCAGCTTTCAGACTTCAACTCCCAGAATTCCCCAGGCACCAGGGGGCTGTGTTTACTCTTAAGCATCCCATGAAATCGGTGGTTCTCAACCGTAGCCCCAGAATCCCCCAGCCAGCCTGGGGCTAAGGACTAATGAATGGGTTCAAACGGAGAGGCTGATTTGTCTTGTGCCATCCACGTGATGCTGATCTGATCGTTTGGAAAGAAACCTTGGTTGATCTCGCCCGGGGAGACTTTTTTTCCTGGCAGAAGCTGACTCAAGAGACCCCCTTAGCTGGGTTTGGCTGTTCTCTTGGGAATTGGGGAGGTGGGCACAGAAGTCATTCCACCAGGGGAACCTTCGCAGTTTTTCTTCCGATCCTTGGGACTCCCGTATCTCTCCGTTTTATTTCGGTCTGTTTGTGTTGGCATTTTCGGTAGCTGAGATAACTGCCGGTCACCTTGACTGGACCCTTGTTTGCAATCTAAAGGGAAATAAATGGCTCGGGTTCAAATTTTAAGAGTCGGTCTCTGACCGAAGGCCACCTGAAGAGACTAGAAGCATTTGAAATATGGATTGACAGGCGGCTGTTACGTAGAAGCTGGGCTGACAAGATCAGAAACGAGGTGATAAGCCTCCTGGGAAAGCCAAGGGAAATCATCAAAACAATTAAAAAACGAAAATTAGAATATTTTGGACACGGGATGCGACACCCAGAAAAATACAGCATACTCCATCTAATCCTCCAGGGAAAGATGGAAGGCCAACGAGGTCCAGGCAGAAGAAGAACATCGTGGCTTCAAAATCTAAGGGACTGGTTTGGACAAAACTCAGCAGCACTTTTTTGTGCGGCTGCTGACAAAAACAGGATCACTAACGTGATTGCCAAAATCTGATAACGTATATGGCAGAAGAAGAGGAAGAGGAAGAGGAAGAGGAAGAGGAAGAGGAAGAGGAAGAAGAAGAAGAAGAAGAAGAAGAAGAAGAAGAAGAAGAAGAAGAAGAAGAAGAAGGAAGAAGAAAAGGAAGAAGAAGAAGAAGAAGAAGGAAAGAAGAAGAAGAGGAAGAAGAAGAAGCAGAAGAAGGAAGAAGAAGAAGGAAGGAAGAAGAAAGAAGAAGAAGAAAGAAGAGGAGGAGAGGAGGGAGGAAGGAGGAGAGGAGGAAGAAGAAGAAGAAGAAGAAGAAGAAGAAGAAGAAGAAGAAGAAGAAGAAGAAGAAGAAGAAGAAGAAGAAGAAGAAGAAGAAAGGAAGAAGGAGGAGGAGGAGGAGGAAGAAGAAGAAAGAAGGAAGAAAGAAGAAGAAGAAGAAGAAGAAGAAGAAGAAGAAGAAGAAGAAGAAGAAGAAGAAGAAGAAGAAGAAGAAGAAGAAGAAGTAGTAGTAGTAGTAGTAGTAGTAGTAGTTGGAAGGGACCTTGGAGGTCTTCTAGTCCAACCCCCTGTTCAGGCAGGAAACCTACCATTTCAGACAAATGGTTGTCTGAACTTTCCTGAGGTCACCTTAAAATCTTGGAAAGAGTAATGCAAGGACTTCACTTTTGGAAAAGTGAGCAGGCCGGTCCTCTTTTAATTTAGCATCTCAGAGGACAGAGGGCATTTTAATGGGCAACATAAAGGGCATTTAAACCATCCCCTGGCCTTTTTCCGCATAAGACTTGACAAATCTCTTTTGGAGAACATTGATTGGATACGACTTGTCTTTTCTGAACGAAGCGGCTAAGATTCTCAGCGAAGTGGGATCTGGGCTGAACCCCACGGCATGGCTGGCTAGGGAATTCTGGGAGTTGAAGTCCACCCCTCTTCATGTTGCCAAGGTTGAGAAATGCCACCCTGTGCCATCCGACCCCCCCCTACCCCAGCAGTCTGCCCACAAACCATCCAGAACTGGGGAGCCATGCCAGCTTCTTACCCAGCTCGCCACTCTGAATGGAGAAGTCTTTGCTGAGCAGAACCCACTTCTGGATTTTCTGGGCGTTGGAGGTGGCGTGATCATTGACCTTCATGACTCCCTTCTGGATGGCGGTGTACACAGCCACGTCTTTGTTGCCCACTATGTCGGAGACCGTGGTGGACTTGCTGCCCAGTTTCTGGCAGAACTCGATGGATTCAGCCGTCAGTTCGTCTTCCGACATCCCCGTTTCTAGGTTCATCTTGCTCTAGAAAAGCAGAAGAGTGTTGGAGTGGCCATGGGAAGGAGGGCAGCGCCACCCTCTGGTGGGGGCTGGCCCTGCCCTGATGTTTGCCCAGAGGGGGGATAGATGAGGGGGTGTATGTGGGCACCCACCCATTCAGACAATATGGAGTATAAGGTAAGAGCTCAAGGTAGAGGCCAGCAACGTTGCCCCCCTGGAGATCATGTCTAGACCCTCAGCAGGAACAATCTGATCTTTTCCCAACAGGAACTGGTGGAGCACCGAAGGGGTGGAGGACTTTCTTCCCCCCCCCCCCAGCATAGAATCAGCCCTATCCTAAGCTAAGCAGCTATTTGGAAGCATTTATGAAAGAACGGTCAAGGATGAGGAGAACAGGATTCTGCAAAACCAAAGAGTGAACTCTCCCTTTTAGCTTTCAATTCAAGATCGTAGTCCTCAGTTTTTCCACTCCTGAAGATTTTTGAAAGGGGAACTTCTCTTGCCTGGATTGACACCTGAATAGAGCCTTCCCAGACCAGTGTTTCTCCCACCTTGGCCACATTAAGACGGGTGGACTTCAACTCCCAGAATTTCCCAACTGGCCAATTCCATGAATTTGAAGCCCACCCATCTTAAAACAGCGAAAGGGTGCTTTAGAATATGGCAAAAAAGAGTGCAGAGAAGAGCAACAAAGATGATTAGGGGACCGGAGACTAAAACATATAAAGAATGGTTGCTGGAATTGGGTATGTCTAGTTTAATGAAGAGAAGGATGGGGGGGGGGACATGATAGCAGCATCTCGGGTTGCCCCAAAGAAGAGGGAGTCAAACTATTCTCCGAAGTACCAGAAAGGCAGGACAAGAAGCAACGGATGGAAACTCCTCAAGGAGAGAAGCAATCTAGAATTAAGGAGGAATTTCCTGACACTAACAACAATTAACCAGTGGAACAGAAGCTGCCTCCAGAAGTTGCGGGTACTCCAACGCTGGAGGCTTTTAAGAAAAGACTGGACAGCCACTTGTCTGAAATGTGTTTCCTGCTTGAGTGGGGGGGGGGGATTGGACTAGAACAGACATGTCAAACACAAGGCCCAGGGGCTGGATGCGGCCTGTGCCATGGTTTCATGTGGCCCGCAAAGCCATCCTGGAAACAGGGAACGGCCCCTGCTGCCTTGGCCCCGGCCCAGGCCTCCCGGGAGCCAATGTACAATTTTGTGGTGGCCATCTATGCTGAAACGCATTCAGTCTTAGTTCCACAAGGCCATCTGGAAACAGCAAGGGACCGACCCCTGCCGCATCGGCCCCAACCCCTGGGTGCATGCTGGGGAGGTGTCACCCTTTGTGAGGAATGAAGAAATGCACTATTACTTGGAAATGGCCAGCAAATGGCCCTCACCTACTCTTCCAATGGACCACGCCCCGGTCCCACTCCCTTCTGCCAGAGACCCTCAGATCTGTCCCACTCCTGCCCAGGCCCTCACAGGAACCTTTGATGAGAACGATGAAGAGCTGGCTATGCCTACCCAGTAGGCCACACCCATTCCAGCCACGCCCACCCAGTAAGCCTCACCCCCCTGGCCACACCCACCCATCCCCCCCCCCCCGAGGACAACTGCAAAGCTGATGTGGCCCTCAATGAAATTGAGTTTGACACCCCTAGACTAAAAGACCTCGAAAATCCCTTCCAACTCTGTTATTCTATTCTAAACACATCTGGGAATGCCCAATTTGGATCTGAAGGAGTGAGAATGGCAGCCCCTTGGACTCGTCTCCCTCCTATCCCTCTCCCCCGCGGGCCCCAGTGCCTAGGGGAGGAAGGAGAAAATCTGGTGCTCACCTTAAGGGTCATCAGCATGACGAGATATTTGGCTTTGTCTCCCACTAACATGACGTTGCTAAGAATGGGGACGGCCTCCTTGACTGCATCTTCAATCGGGACCGGGGGAATATTCTCTCCCCCCGCGGTGATGATGAGCTCTGGAATAAAAACGGCAAAGGCCGTGCCATCAGACCTCAAGAAGAGCGATTGGATTCACACACTTGCAGTCTATGGGATAAACCATGGCTTGTCTGCTGCAGAAACCGGGAGTCTCGACTTTAACAACTGTTCGCTTTGTGAGTTTTCAAAATTAGAACGGCACTGGAGAAAAGTGACTTGTGACTGGTTTTCATGCTTACGACTGTCACAGCAACCCCACGCCACGCGACTGAAATCCAGACACTTGGCTACCGGTATGCATTTATGATGGCTGCAGCCTCCCAGCGACCCGGGATTCTCATTTGTGATCTTCCCTGGAGATTTCCTCTCGTGACCCAGGGGACTGGATTACCTTTGATCCGTCCCGTAATGAAGAGGAAGCCATCCTCATCGTACCGGCCCAGATCCCCAGAATGAAGCCAGCCCTCGGCGTCAATGGCTTCTTTCGTTTTGTCTTCCATGTTCAGGTAGCCCATAAAGACATGGCGCCCGGCAAAGCAGACCTCGCCGACGCCTTCCTGGTCTGGTTTGAAAAGCATCGTCCGGAAGCCTGTAATCTCCTTGCCGCAGCTGGATGGAGGGGGAGGGGAAGGGGTCAAGCAAAGAGTCAAGGGCTGGCAAGTGTACCCCCGCTCACAAACACACGGACTGCCCATTGCGGAGAAGCACCGTGTGGTCTGCATCTCAAACTGGAGCGGAAACGGTTCCTGGAGTCTGCAATGTTTTCTGGGAATCCATTCATGCTCCCGCACCCTCCGAAGGGCGTATATCCGAAAGAGCGCAACTGAATGTCTATGGAGCTTCTCAGTCATCCAGGTATGATGGCCCCAAAGGCGCTTTTTTTCAGGAGGCGACTGGACTTTCTGGTGTTTCCGGTTGCTCCCTGAAAAAAAGCATCTTTGGGACAGCCATGACCTGGATAGTGGAGAAGCTCCATAGACCACGAGGATTGTGTGGTTGCCTGGCGATTAGCATCTCCTCTCCAGGTGATCTGGGAAGAAAGAAGATGCCAATACATTCAGAAGAAATACCACTAGAAAAAGCTGAAAGGATCACGCACCACGGTTCCAATTTACATGACCGTTGAAGTAAAGACAAGGATAGAGAAAGCTCGAACAGCATTCTTCAAAATGAAAAAGGTCTTCTGCAGCCACGACAGAAGCCTAAAACTGAAAATCAAGCTTGTCAGATGCTCTATTTTTCCTATCCTGCTCTATGGAGTAGAGAGTCGGTCTCTGACAGACGGCCACCTGAAGAGACTAGAAGCATTTGAAATGTGGATTGATAGGTGGCTGTTATGTATAAGTTGGGTGGACAAGATCAGAAATGAGGAGGTGATAAGCCACCTGGGAAAGCCAAGGGAAATCATCAAAACAATTAAAAAACGAAAGAATATTTCGGACATGGGATGCGACACTCAGAAAAATACGGCATATTCCATTTAATCCTCCAGGGAGAGATTTATTTATTTTATTTACAAATATTTTTATGCCGCCCAATCCCAAAGGACTCAGGGCGGCGTACAAAGTTAAAAACAGTCATAAAACAATAAAATAAAGCAGTCATACCGCGAGTCCGATCATATCCCGGCCCCCCGGGGACATCAGCCCCAGGCCTGCCGGAACAGGAGAGTTTTAACGGCTTTCTTAAAGGCCGGCAGGGTGGGAGTAGTTCGAACCTCGGGGGGGAAGTTGATTCCACCAGGTTGGAGCCACCACAGAAAAGGCCCTTCCCCGAGGGCCCGCCAGCCGACATTGTCTGGCCGATGGGACCTGAAGGAGGCCCAGTCTATGGGACCTCACCGGTCTCTGGGAACTATGCGGCAGAATGCGGTCCTGGAAGGCCAACGAGGTCCGGGCAGAAGGAGAACACCGTGGCTTCAAAATCTAAGGGAGTGGTTGGGACAAAACTCAGCCGCACTTTTTTGTGCGGCTGCTGACAAAAACAGGATCACCAACGTCCGATAACGGACATGGCACAAGAAGATGACGACGTGGGTCCTGAAGCCTTAGTGGAGCTTCCACGTTCCAAGGCAATCTAGCTGCAAATTCTGCTTGCTTGGCTCTGGGGACCCAAGTAACTTTTTTTTCAAAAAAAAATTTAGTTACACATTAAATGTCTTCCTTAAACAGCGAGCAAGTTTTAAGCTGGCGATGCAACTCCTGCAAAGAGAGAATTTCTCTCTTCTGCAGAGCAAAACCTACAAGAAGGTCTATGGTCCAAGCAGGCTGGAAATTCCCACACCCACCCCTCCTTTTTTTTCTCAAATAAAAACCCCGACACTTGCAAATTCTCCTGGGCCCGGCCTCAATTACTTTTCTCAGCAGAAATGGAAGTTTTTTCTAATCAAGCCAAGCGGAAATCATGTACGGGTTTTCCTCTGCCGGAAGATTGAAATAGGTTGGGGGGGGGAGGGAAGGAGGAAGTTGTGGGTCCATTTGGGGTTGAGGGACGATGGGCTGACGACACGTCACCCGTGGCCAGGCGTGACCTCAAATGGGGGTGCCAGCTTCGCAGAAAGGGGTGTGTGTGGGGGGGGGGGGTGTCTTGAGCAGGCCAGCTGCTTGACCTGATCTGAGAAGAGCAAATGGATGGGCCGTCCCATTTTTTCTTGTGCCTCTCCCTCCGCAGTTTCAACAATGGAGAAATCCAGATGTCAGAAATTCATAAGCAAAAAAACTTTTAGGCTAGAGAATTACGGGTGTTTTTTTTTTTCCTTTCCCACACAAAAAAAGTGGACTGGTTTTTTGAATATTGCAATTTCTGGAGTTCTTCAAAGCTCAATAATAATAATAATAATAATAAAGTTGGAAGGGACCTTGGAGGTCATCAAGTCCAACCCCCTGCTTAGGCAGGAAACCCTATACCATTTCGGACAAATGGCTGTCCTGTCTCTTCTTAAAAACTTCCAGTGTTGGAACATTCACAGCTTCTGGAGGCAGGTTGTTCCACTGGTTAGTTGTTCTAACTGTCAGGAAGTTTCTCCTTAGTTCTAGGTTGCTTCTCTCCTTGACTAGTTTCCATCCGTTGCTTCTTGTCCTGCCTTCAGGTGCTTTGGAGAAAAAGCTTGACTCCCTCTTCTTTATGGCAGCCCCTGAGATACTGGAACGCTGCTATCCTGTCCCCCCTCATCTTTCTCTTCATTAAACTAGACCTATCCAATTCCAGCAACCGTTCCTTATATGTTTTAGCCTCCAGTCCCCTGATCATCTTTGTTGCTCTTCTCTGTACTCTTTCTAGAGTCTCAACATCTTTTTTACATTGTGGTGACCAAAACTGGATGCAGGATTCCAAGGGTGGCCTTACCAAGGCCTTGTAAAGTGGTATTAACCCTTCGCGTGATCCTTTCTCTAGATGCCGCCTTGACGATGTGTTAATCCGGTTGTCTTTGACTCCAGGTAACCACATCAGTGGATTTTCTCTAGCACAGTGTTTCCCAAACTTGACCATTTTAAGGCATGTGGACTTCAACTCCCAGAATTCCACAGCCAGCAACGCTGGCTGTGGAATTCTGGGAGTTGAAGTCCACATGCCTTAAAACGGTCAAGGTTGAGAAACACTGCTCTAGCAAGCTCTTGCCCCTGACCTTCAGGTCTCCCCACCCTGTAAGGGAGCCCATCCCTTCCCTCAGCCTCCTCTTTTTCTTCTCTTTCCTTCCATCTTTCCCAGCGTGATGGGCTCCTCAAAGACTGACCGTGTGCCATCAACTCACACAGGCTCAAGATGGATCTTCTTATCCAAAAAATGAAATTCAGTGTAGAGAAAAGCCAGGTTTTACACTTAGGCAGGAAAAACCAAAGGTACAAGTACAGATGAAACCTGGCTGAAAAACAGTAACTGTGAGAGGGACCTTGGAGTCCTTAGTGGACGATCCCTTAAACGTGAGCCAGCTGTGTGCGGCAGCAGCCAAGGAAACCTAACACAATCCTGGGTTGTATAAACAGAGGCATAGAATCAAGATCACCATGAAATTCTAGTACTGCTTTATAAAGAGCACATGTAGAATGCTGCTTCCAGTTGTGATCGCTGCATTATAAAGAAGATGTTGAGACTCTAGAAAGAGTGCAGAGAAGAGCAACAGAGATGATCAAGAAACTGGAGGCTAAAACACATGAATTGTTGCAAGAATTGCTTCTATCTAGTTTAACGAAGAGAAGGACGAGGGGGGACATGATAGCCGTGTTCCAGTATCTCAGGGGCTGCCGCAAAGAAGAGGGAGTCAAGCTATTCTCCAAAGCGCCTGAAGGCGTGGAAACTAACCAAGGAGAGAAGCAACCTGGAACTAAGGAGAAACTTCCTGACAGTGAGGACAATTAACCAGTGGAACAGCTGGCCACCAGAAGCTGTGGGTGCTTCATCATTGGAGGCTTTTAAGAAGAGACTGGACAGCCATTTGTCTGAAATGGGATAGGATCTCCTGTTTGAGCAGGGGGTTGGACTAGATGACCTCCAAGATCCCTTCCAATTTTATTATCATTATTCCAACATCTCGGGGGCTGCCCCAAAGAAGAAGGAGTCAAGCTTTTCTCCAAAGCCCCTGAATGAAAGACAAGAAGCAACGGATGGAAACTAAATCAGGGGAGAGAAGCAACCTGGAACTAAGGGGAAACTTCCTGACAGTGAGAACAATTAACCAGTGGAACAACCTGCCTCCAGAAGCACTGAATGCTCCAACACTGGAAGTTTTTAAGAAGAGACTGGACAGCCATTTGTCCAAAATGGTGTAGGGTTTCCTGCCTGAGCAGGGGGTTGGACTAGATGACCTACAAGGTCCCTTCTAACTCTGATTCTGGTATTCTGATGGTGGACTAAAGTCTGTGCTGCACGGCAAGACTCATGAAGGGGTTTTCCATTCAGAGGCTTGAGGAATGGGAAAAGAGGTGGGGTGGGTCAACTTTTCATTTATTTTGAGAAGGACACTTTGGGGGGGAACCTTAAGGGTCATCTAGTCCAGCCTTTGCCAACTATCTGGCGACTGCAGATTACAAGCCTCGCCCGTCGGGTACCACGTTTGCAAAAGCAACCGATTTCCGTCTAGAAAGGGTGAATATTTAGAACTTTACTTTCTTTTCCTGTCGCTGTGGGGCTTCCCGCACACCCGGCAGCGAGACGCTGACGCTAAGACGCTGCCTCTTTGAATGTCTCAATCCAGGAGAAGACCTTTTGGCACTTAGAGACGGTCGAAGGGCCTCGTTCCCACGCCAGGCTCGGGCAAGATGGCAGCAGCACCCGCCGTAGTGACCGGATCCCTCCCGGTGGGACCAGCAACACCTCTCTTCTCCGAACCGACCGACGTCTCGCTCAGTGACATTTCGATGGCCGCCTCTTCGCCCAGGTGGGTGAACGCTTGTTCTTTCTTCTGGGGGGGGGCAGCCCAGTGCTTCCTGTCTGCTGCCTCCCACCCACCCAAGGGGAAGACACGTCTTTACTGTGGGGTGTTTGGGCCATTATTATTGGGGGGGGGGTTGGAATTTTATCCCCTGCTGAGATTTGGTAAAACAAGGTTGAAGTTGTTTTGAACTGACTATCCTGGTTTTCTTTTTCTTTTTTTTTTTTTAAAGTTTTTTATTTATAACACAATTAAAACAAAAATGGACATAACGTAACATTCCAGTATATTTATTTTTTAACAGTTTGTTCCTCTTCATACATATAGTTCTTAATCTCTATATATACATACATATTTAGGTCTTTGGTTATTCGGGTTTTCTCCCGCGTCAAATTGGAAGTGTCTTGACGATGTTTCGACGAAGTCCCATTCGTCATCTTCAGGCTGGTGTCTTCGGCTTCGTGCTTCTAGGAGCACGAAGCCAAAAACACCAGCTTGAAGATGACGAATGGGACTTCGTCGAAACGTCGCCAAGACACTTCCAATTTGACGCGGGAGAAAACCCGAATAATCAAAGACCTACATACAAACACCCGCGAAAACCTCAGAAAACAAGCATACATATTTTTCTATACAATACAATACCTAGTTTATTTCTCTATATACTAACATACAGTTATATATATTTCTATCTTAACAGTAGCTTATAACCCGAACAGTCCCCCTTGATTCACACCAATAATAAAATTTGTCCCAGATTTCAAAATAATCTGACTCTGTCTTGTCCTTCATTTCCATTGTGAGCCTGTCCCTATCGGCACACGATAAAATTTTGTATAAAATCTCTTCTTCTGTTGGAGTTTCTTTATTCCTCCAATTTTGTGCATACACCAATCTAGCAGTTGTGAAAAGGTGTAACATCAGGTAGAATATCCCTTTATCGTATTTTTGTGTAGTTATGCCTAATAGGAAGAGTTCTGGTGTTAGCTCTATCTCTATCATTAATATTTCTTCCAGACATTTTTTTTATCTTATTCCAAAAATCACAAGCTTTTGAGCACTCCCACCACATATGGTAATAGGTCCCTATTGCCAATTTACATTTCCAGCATGTAGATGAAAAATTTGGACCAATTTTGGCTAACCTTGTGGGTGGGAGATGCCATCTATAAAACATTTTGTAGAGATTTTCTTTGTAGGATGGGTCCAAGGTGAGCTTCCTGTTTCTTACCCATAATTCTTGCCAGATGTGCAGATCAAAGTTGAGATCAAGATCCCTGCTCCACGTTAACATGGTTTCTTTTACCTGTTCCTCATTGCCTGATCTAACAGATAATGAAATAATAATAATAATAGTAGTAGTAGTAGTAGTAAAGTTGGAAGGGACCTTGGAGGTCATCTAGTCCAACCCCCTGCTCAGGCAGGAAACCCTACACCATTTCGGACAAATGGCTGTCCAGTTTCTTTTTAAAAACCTCCAGTGCTGGAGCATTCACGGCTTCTGGAGGCAGGTAGTTCCACTGGTTAATTGTTCTCACTGTCAGGAAGTTTCTCCTTAGTTCTAGGTTGCTTCTCTCCTTGATGAGTTTCCACCCGTTGCTTCTTGTCCTGCCTTCAGGGGCTTTGGAAAATAGCTTGACTCCCTCTTCTTTGTGGTTTTTTTAATCATTTTATTCTCAGTTCCTAATAATATTTTGTCCAGCCCTGTTGGCTCTATTTTTATGCTTAGCTCTTTTTTTTTTTTTTTTATCTTTCCAATGTCTTGCCTGTAATTGAAGATATGCCCACCATTCTAATTCTGTCCCTTCGTCTTGAAGATTTTTCCTGGATTTCAATTCCCCCTTTCTCGTCTAGTACATTTTTATATGTTATAATTTTCCCTAGTTGTATAAACATCCTGGTTTTCTATCGTGGCTTGCTCAAACCATGCTTCACCCTACATGGGTCAGGCGCGAACGACCAGACCCGGACGGGGTGGAATTCAAAGCACAAATACTCCTCATCTTGCAACAGTTTTGTTTAGTGACTGAAGTTACTGAAAAAAGAGAGTGATAGCCATTTCTCACACTTAACGACTGCTGCAGCGTCCCCACAGTCAGGCGATCGAATATTCAGTCAGCTTGGCAACTGACTCGTAGTTATGACGGTCGCAGGCGTCCCAGAGGGTCACGTGATCCCCTTTGACGACCTTTTTCTGACCAGCCACGTCCGTGGGGAAAAGTCAGATTCGCTGAAGAACCGCGGGAAGAAAGTTCGTGAAATGGGGCAAAACTGTCGCTCAGTAACAGAAGGGTTGGGCTCAGTTTTGGTCGTAACTAGAGGACTTACCTGTACAGGTAGTCATCAGTGCAAGAAGGTAGTGGGGCTTGCGGAGAAGAAGAGGAGGAGGGGGACTGTGGGGGATGCTTAGTGCTCTCTGAGCTTGGTGATTTCCTTGAAGACATTTCATGGCCCAACTAAAGAACATCATCAGTGCTACAAGGGAGTGGGGTTTGCAGAGAGGAGGAAGAGGAGGAGGAGGGAGGAAGAAGAGAAGGGAGGGAGGGAAAAGAGGAAGAAAGAGGACTGTGGGGTCCTCGGGGCTCTCCAAGCTGGGTTGGCTTCCTTGCAGACGTTTCATGACCCAACTAGGGAACGTCATCCGTGCCAGAAGGGAGTGTGAGGTTGGCTCTCCCTTTAGATCAGTGGTTCTCAACCTTTCTAATGCCGCGACCCCATAATACAGTTCCCCATGTTGTGGTGACCCCCAACCACTTATACATCACCGGGTGCCAGGGGCGTGGCCAAAGAAAAGGGGGGGGGAAATGACGGACAGCCTTGTTTGGCGACCCCCCGTGAAATGGTCGTTCGACCCCAAATGGGGTCCCGACCCACAGGTTGAGAACCGCTGCTTTAGATACTAGCAGGTTACCCTGTCAGTATTGGTGGGAGCGTGTTTTGTTTTTCCCTCTTGGCTATTGCTTGTCTGTTTGTCTGGGATTAATCCCCGCTTATCTGATCTTTCCTTTGAGTCCTTGGCTGATTCATTGCCCAACTCCTAGATCACCTGATCAGTGCTGGAGGGGAAGGAGCCATCAATCTTCTTTTGCATCTCTAATCATCCCCGGCCCGTTTTCGGTTGCCCCAGATCTGCCCCACCTTTCGTGAAATATCTCTGGCGTCCGCTGCTCGTTCTTTGACACACCGATTGCAAAAGCTGGTAAAACGGGGCAGAATTCACACGGCTGTCTGTTTCGCTTAGCGATGGGAAATTTCACCTCAATTGTAATTGCTCAATTACAATCCTGTTGTAATGAGGATCCTCAGTAGGGCTGGATTGGGGCTCCCAGTGCTCAAGTGTAGATTTTGGAAATGGGGGGGGCATGCGGGTGGCCTTAACAGCCCACCTCTGGGGGAGCGAGGAGGGTCCTGGTGTAACCTTGATGCTGATACCAGCTGAAGAATAGCCAACAGGTATTCTTTGGTGCCTCCCCCTCAGCTTGGCAGGCAGGTGGGCAGCACCTCAAGGGACGCTAGGTGGGGTGCAGAAAAAGTCCAGTTGGACACGAGACACCTTCCTTTATTCCAGCAAGCAAAGGGCGGGGGGGGGGGGAACAGCTAAATGTCTACGGAGATGCTCAGCCATCCAGGTGATTAGTTATCCCAAAGGTCATAGTTATCCCAACTGGACTTTCTTGTTTTTCCTTTGAAGACGTTTCGCTTCTCATCCCAGAAGCTTCTTCGGCTCTGACTGGATGGTGGGGAAGGGAAGGATTTATACTCCTTGCAGACTGCTGGTCATTTGCCTTCCTTTAGAGAGTCGTTGAGGCCACTTGGAGGTTTGTCTCTGTGTCCTCAGGGTCAGCTGAGGGGTGCAAATGGGGGTGGAGCTTTTTATTTGAAGAAGTTTTGCTTCTTCAGCTCTGACTGGATGGTGGGGAAGGGAAGGATTTATACTCCTTGCAGACTGCTGGTCATTTGCCTTCCTTTAGAGAGTTGTTGAGGCCACTTGGAGGTTTGTCTCTGTGTCCTCAGGGTCAGCTGAGGGGTGCAAATGGGGGTGGAGTCTTTTATTTGAAGAAGTTTTGCTTCTTCAGCTCTGACTGGATGGTGGGGAAGGGAAGGATTTATACTCCTTGCAGACTGCTGGTCATTTGCATTCCTTTAGAGCAGTGGTTCTCAACCTGTGGGCCGCAGGCTGCCATTTTTTTCCCTTTTCCTTAGCTGTGCTGCTCCCTTTTATTCGATTGGCTTTTGAGAGCCAATAGAATAACTCTCTTGAATAGAGTCTAATTCTATTGGCTTTCCAAAGCCAATAGGAATTGTCCAGGCTGTCTCTGCCCTGCTGAGCCTGCCAAAAGTCCCATTCTGCAAACGGTGCTGCACCAGTTGAGTAGTCCTCGACTTACGACCGGTTGAGTAGTCCTCGACTTACGACCAGTTGGGGGTCGCGGCATTAAAAAGGTTGAGAACCATTGCTTTAGAGAGTCGTTGAGGCCACTTGGAGGTTTGTCTCTGTGTCCTCAGGGTCAGCTGAGGGGTGCAAATGGGTGTGGAGTCTTCTTGGAACTGCTGAAAGGACTGTTTTGTGGACTGGAGGTAGATGGTGTCGTATTCCCTCCCCTGCTCCAAGTGGCTTCAACGTCTCCAAAATAAGGCAAATGACCAGCTGTCTGCAACGAGTATAAATCCTTCCACTTCTCGAGAAGCTGAAGAAGCTTCTGGGATGAGAAGCGAAACGTCTTCAAAGAAAAATAAGGAAGTCCAGTTGCCTCCTGAAAACCATCCTCGGGAAAGGGGAGGCTGTTTCCAGGTTGGGCAATGTAATGCACCCCATGCCAGCTGCCCCTTCTTCCCCCATGGGTGCCTTTCTCCATTGGAGGGGGGAAGGGGTCTTTGTACAGACTAAACTGCCTTGGCAGAAGTGCTGGGCCTTGGAGGAATCACACTCCAGCATCAGGAACACTCACTGTGTGTTTGTGTTTTTGACTTTCTGCTTTTGCTCCATCTGCTCAAAACAAGGGGTC